AAAAAAAAAAAAAAAAAAATAACGGCAATCATTGTTAAGTTTTGCAGTCTCACCTGTTTCCTTTATCATCTCAACAGATTTGCACTGGCTCTTAGAAATAAAGGAATGTATATTTTTGTTTAAAATCTTGAAAAATTAAGGGAGACTGCAACTCAACTTATAGCAAATGCTTCTATAAACCATTACAATTTTCAGTTTTTATGCTGTTTTTTGTGGATGAACCATCATCCCTCCACATCTGATTCCTCCCAGCTAACAATTCAATTCAATTTATTTCTATAGTGCCAAGTCACAACAGAAGTCATCTCAGGGCACTGAACAGAAATATTCATAACAAGTTAACAAAAACATTCATAAAAAAATAATAATTTACCATTATTTATCTGAGGAGCGGACTGCTTTGAGTTTAACTCCATCACAGAACTCTCATCTTGAGCAAGCATGAAGGCGACAGTGGAAAGGAAAAACTCCCTCACGAGGAAGAAACCTTTAACAGAACCAGGCTCAGGACAAGCGGCCATCTGCTTCAACCGGCTGGGTTTGAGAGGAACAGATACACAATGGCAGGTCAAGAATCACGTTAAGATAAAAATAGTATCAAATGAAAACTATTCAATTTTAACAATTCATTTAAGAAATGAGGTCAATTTGTCCTGTAGTAGTCTAAGCTGAAGGCAGCATGGCAAGCAACCCTACTGCAACTATAGGATTTATCAAAATGGAAAGTCTTAAGTCCAGTCTTAAAACTGGACAATGTGTCAGCCTCACGGACAGAAACTGAAAGTTGGTTCCACAAGAGAGGAGCCTGATAACTGAAAGATCTTCCTCCCATTCTACTTTTGGAAACTCTAGGAACCACAAGTAAGCCTGCAGTCTGAGAGTGAAGTGCTCTGTTAGGAAAATATGGAACAATAAAATCTCAAATATAAGATGCAGCTAGGTTGTTGAAGGCTTTTTTTAGGGTAGGTTAGAAGTAAGATTTTGAATTCAATTCTGGATTTGACAGGGAGCCAATAGAGAATTTAAAACTGGAGAGATAAGATCTCTCCTACTAACGCCAGTTAAGACTCTGGCAGCAGCATTTTGGATCAACTAAAGACATTTTAAAGAAGTATCCTGATGCATGCTCAATAATCCAGGTAGAAAAATAAAAAAAAATAAAATCTGGTCCTCTGGACATTCAAAAAAACAAAAAACAAAACAAAGCAAAAAAATATAGGAACGTTTCGTCTCTCATCCGAGAGACTTCCTCAGCCTGAGGTGCTGTATTCAGCTCGATTTTTTAAATTCCAGCTTCTCAGAGTGGATCAACCAGTTTGCTGCTGACAACCAAACAAGCTGCTCACATGGTCAAGAAGGACCATCAACCTAACAATGGGTCATTAGCACACTGATGGCTGTTTACTATTCACAGGGGGTTTAGTGATACTAGCAATCACAGCATTGTAAGAGGGGGACAGTTGAACCCGGAGGCCTCCACCCCTGTTTAAGACAGAGAGGAACGATGGTTTGAGAGAGGAGTAAATGAGGCCATCTTTGTGAAAAGAAATCGTCCATCATTAAAGGGTTTGCCAGCCCTCATATATCTGCATGACATGTCAAAGTATTTTTCTGTTGCCACTAGCTCTTGTGTTTACCTCAAATTTTCTATCTGACCCTCGTCTTTCACCCTCACTCCCTCTCAACTCAACCCCTCCCTTCCTCCAATCTCTCCATCCCCTCCCTCTCCCTTGACACCTCCCTCTCTCTCATCCCTTCACATTGATGCTCCTGCTGCAGCCTGTGGGGTGAACTGCCACAAGGCCTGCAGAAACCACCTGGCTCTTGAGTGTAGGAAGAGGACAAAGAGCATCAGCCACGAGACACCACCCGGACTCCAGGCCAGGTCCTATAGCTTCCCCCCACCTGCCAACACTCCCCCCAGCCTGCAGAATACAGGTGAGACACTTTCCCATTGTTGTGGCTAGAAGCCACCGTCGTGTTCAAAACAGCTGAAGCTGGCACCTTAGTTCAAAAGATTTATTTGACAACGGATTACAAGTATTCAGAAACAAACAATTACATTAATAAAATATATGCATATATTTTGGAGCATTAAAGAACGAACCGTCTCGGTCTGGTCTTCCCCGGAAATGCCCGATGAGCGTGTGTCATTTCCGGCTTTTATAAAAGCTTGGAAAAGCTAGCTCTTCTGATTGGTTTAACCCTTCAGTTGCCATGGTTACTGGTGTAGCCCGCCCCCTGAAGGACGTTAGTTAAAAGTTTATGGCACACTGAAATCGTTTGTTTTAGCTGTTTGTTTAACGTGATTATACCTTAGTGATACCAAATGATTTGAGTTAAAGTTGTTTCTTTCTAGGAATAATTAATAACTATTAATTATTATCTAACTCATGTTTGTGTGTTCTTACTTGATCCTTTTTATACTTCTGTTTTAGTTTAGTTGCTTTAGTTGGATTTTACTTAGTCAAACTATATTAAGTCTAAATTAAAGAGATGTGTTCTAGCTTTATTTATGTTAATCAGTCTGCTGTCTGGCATGATTTGATTGCTTGTAATATCTCAAATGTGAACTTGTAAAATTATCATTAGCTAATATAAGATTATATGTAAAGGTAAAATAGTTAGAATTAGTAAACATTTTCTATAAATATAGTGCAACCCTGGAAGAAAGACACACACACACTTTGTATAACATGACATTTGAATGCTTGATAGGAAATATAAAAAGGTATAAAAATATGAAATCCAACACAGTTGACTAATGCTAATAAATAACATTTAACACTTTTCGTTTAATATAAGTTAAAGTGCTATGCATATCATATGGCTGTTACTGAATATATGTCACCAGCTCTTACAGCTCTTGCACAATTTTTGTAGCAAATAATCCTAAATAAGAGGCTATGTTCTGACAAAGAAATGTATATAAAATATGGGTATCTGTTATTGGCCAAATAAGTTTCAGCATAGAGCTGGACAATAATTTGATATTGATATATCTCGCGATATACTTTTATTCAATAACGATGATATGAATTTTAAGCACATTTTCGATATTTCGATAGGATTACAGCGTTTTCTGTTCGGGTTGAAGCGGCCACTTCAGTTTCAACCTGGACAGAAAAAGGTGCGACACAACTACGTAAGTGCGTGGTGACGTAATGTTACGCAGAGCTCATGTCCAGAAGGCGTTAGTGGTAGCAGGCTAAGCTAGGCTAATCTCCAACGCGCGTTAAGTTTTCTCTTCAAAATGAGTGCCCATGATCGTCAGAATGTGACTGAACAAGCTTTCACAAGCGAAGAGAAAGCAGTTGACATCACTGATAGGAGAGAAAAGACTAATTCACTGGTTTGGAAGTGGTTCAGCTTTCTAAGATCCGATAAACTGCAGGTTTCAGTCAGTGTGCTGCAAAATGTGACAGAGAGTCGTTGTAACTCGCGGTTGGAACATCGAACTTGTTCCACTTGACAGAAGATGATGAGTCACAAGATGAAGCTCAATAAAAGTTTGAGCCAACGTGTCCCTGAAACACCCCCAGCACTGCATGTTTTTTTTTTGTTTGTTTTTATCATTTATTCATTCATTAAAAATAAAAGAAATTCATCAGAAAGAAAGAAAAATCATTGAATGAAAAGGTTGCAGAAAGAAGAAAATGATTCTTATCTGCCCCTAATTAAAAAAATACTAAATAACTACAGACCTCTTAATAAGAGACCTTGACTTGAACAATCTCCAAACTGAAAACAAAAAAACTTCAGGTATCCTTCACCTGGTCCTAAACCTTCCCAACAACTTTAACTATCATCCTTTTAAACATATAAATCATGTTCCCTGAATTACAACACGGCTCCTTCAGACCAGTTCTAAATGGAGGTTTTACAAACATTTCCATTCCCTTAAGTTATATTGACTCTCCTTTTTCTATATTTATTTTTATTGAATATTTGGGGCTAATATTTTTGAGCTTTATGCATGACTTGTAAAGTACTATATTCAACCAAATCATAACATTTTAATAATTTCAATTGATGACATAATATATTTGTTGGGTGACCATAGCACTTCATACTACTAATAATTCTTATAGCTCTTTTTTTTTTTTTGTAAAAATAAAAATAGGGTTTGTAATTGTTCTATTTCATATGGAACATCCATCCATTATACAATATATACAAAGCTTTGTCATTCAAAAACTATTTTACTTTATACAGTAATGCAACTGATGGTTATTTTTATTTTTAAGTATTTTACATGAGATTTCCTTGTCAGCTTCTCATCAATAATGACACCCAAAAAGTTTATTTCATAACAACAAATTTCAATGCTGTCAATTTTAAAGTTGTTGTTTAAAGTCAAAACTATTAATATTGACAAAGTTGAGAATTTTACATTTGACAGTGATTTCAATTTTTTTGAAGGCTAAATACAAATAAAAGGTGAACATTAATTTATTTGTATAGTATGTAGTTTTTCTGAGGCTTTTACATTGTTTATATCGATATCGAATTATATCGTTATCGACTGAAATTAAGAAATATATCGTGATAAAAGTTTTGGCCATATCGTCCAGCCCTGCTTCAACATATAGGCAAATCGGATATCGGCCAAAAATCCAATATCGTGCATCCCTATTTTGTATGATACAGCAAGAAAAGATAATTAAAACTTTCATATAATACCATACCATTTTATTTATAGAGCACTTAAAATGGCGACAAGGCCAACCAAAGTGCTGTACAAACAGAAAACAGGCAACACACAAAGCAACATACAAATTGGAGTATAATCAGAATATAGATACAAAATCGTTGCAGATAATAAAACGACTAACCTGTGTGAAGCATACAGGTTCAAACACAGATCATCTTGTGTTGAAAGCTACGGAATAGTAATAAGTTTTTAAGCAGGATTTGAAAACCGAGAGGGAGGGGGGCCTGTCTGACAAGCAGAGGTAACTCGTTCCAGAGTCTTGGTCCTGCTACAGAGAAGGCCCTGTCACCTCTGCGCTTAAGACGAGTTCCTGGAACTGTGAGAAGCAACTGGTCCGCTGACCTCAGAGAACATGGTGGGACATATGGCTGTAGCAAATCAGAGAGATAGGAGGGGGCGGAACTGTTCAGTGATTTGAAGACATACAGGAGTATTTTGAACTGGATTCGAAGGTACATACATTTGAAGGTTCCATACAGTAGGCTTTCATAAACTTTGTTTGGCCTTGTGCAGTGGTGCGTGAAAATTTGTGAAACCTTTATAATTTTCTACATTTTTGCATAAAAATTACCTCAAACATCAGCAGATTTTCACAAAAGTCCTAAAAGTACATAAAGAAAACCCAGATTTGATGCAAGTTCTATAATCCAGGTAGATAAATCTAATAACAAAGTTAAATCAAGTCCTCTGTATGGATTCTTCTACAAGAATCTGTCCTGAGGACCTGATTTAACCTCGTTAGATTGTACTTGGTCATTTATTTATTGAGGAAAATGATCCAGTATTACATATTTGAGTAATATGAGTGGGCACCCAACCTGTTTGATTTAAAGAACAGGGGTCTAGCAAAGTCTGCTCTTCACAACATGTTTGTGGAAGTGGATCATGGCAGGAACAAAAGAGATTTCTGAGGAGCTCAGAAAAAGAGTTGTTGGTACTCATCAGGCTGGAAAAGTTACAAAACTATCTCTAAAGAGTTTGGACTCCACCAATCCACAGTCAGACAGATTGTGTACAAATGGAGGAAATACAAGAGAGCATTGTTACCCTCCCCAGGAGCGGTGGACCAACAAAGATCACTCTTAAGAGCAAGGTGTGGAATAGTCTGCGAGGTCACAAAGGACCCCAGGGTAACTTCTAACAACTGAAGGCCTCTCTCACATCAACTAATGTTAATGTTCATGAGTCCACCATCAGGAGAACTCCAAACAACAGTGGTGTGCATGACGGGGTTGAAGGAGAAAGACACTGCTCTCCAAAAATAACATTGCTGCTTGTCTGCAGTTTGATAAAGATCATGTGGACAAGTCAGGAGACTGTTGGAAGAATGTTTTGTGGACGGATGAGACCAAAATAAAACTTTGGTTTAAATGAAAAGCGTTATGTTTGGAGAAATAATTGTAGTCACTACAGTGACATTATTTACATGAATGTGCCTTCAGGCACCTTGCAGATGTTGGACGCTGTCTATTGCGGTTTGCTTACATTCATAACGGGCTGTAATTATCGTACCCATCACTGCACCCTGTATTTACTGGTTAACTGGTCATCAGTAACTTGACACAGACTCTCACACTGGTACATTTTCATCTTTAAATCACTTCTTGGTCTGCTGCCTTCATACATTTCCTCTTATATGTCTCTTCGTGCATGCAACTACAGCGTACGCTCTCAGGACATAATTACTTGCAGTGTACCCTCAGTGAGGACCAAATTAGGCAAAAGGACCTTCTACTCCCGTAACCTGCAACTGTGCAGCACCTTTCAAAAAGATCTGAAACTCTTGACCTTGACCTCTCTAAAGGACTTTAAACAACTGCAAAGTTATTGGCAAAAACCATTGCAGACATGCTCCTGTTTTTAGTATTTTACATCGCTTTATAATGTAGCTGTCTTGTTTTGTTTTTTTATGTCATTTGTTATATTTACTTTTCATTTATATGCTTTTTATATGATTGTCTATTGTTGTCTCCATCTCATCTGTGTTCTTTGTTTAAAACACGTCTCTCTTGTAAATGAGTCCTTGTGGCTCATTGAGACTAACCTGTATAAATAAAGGTTAAATGAAAAAAAGAATACTGGTCATCTTCATCAACGATATGACCACTCCTGACAATGTATTTAACAGATGGTGGTGAAGACCTACATGGATATGGATCAGGACTCTGAAGAAGAGAAGCAGCAGTATCTTGGCCTGGCACTCCATCTTGCCTCAGACTTCTTCCTAAGGAACCCCAATAAAGACGTGCGACTGCTGGTGGCCTGCTGTCTGGCTGATATCTTCAGGATTTACGCTCCTGAGGCACCATACACCTCCCACGATAAACTAAAGGTTAGGAATTGTAGAAATGGACCAATGAGCATTTTTTTGTATTTAAAAAAATAATCAAAAGCAATCCAAGATGTGGTTATTTCAGTTTATCATTTACAAATTACCGTAAAACGGTTAGCTGCAGCTTCCGTGACATGAAGTTTGTGACTTCTCTTTAAATTTATTGTTCCTTGATACTTTAACATGTTTGCCAGACCGTTAAAGTAAAAAAAATATTTATTTATTTTTATATATAAGCAAATTTGATCGTATGAATAATTTACTGCGTTGTAGATGAGAGAGTAGCTTCCCTGCACCTTTGGGTGGAGGGACAGGCTCCGACTGTTGTTTGTGCCTATGCTCCAAATGGAAGTTCGTAGTATCCGGCCTTATTGGAGTGCTTGGCAGGGGTGCTGGAAGGTGCGCCAGCTGGGGTCTCCCTTTATATTTCTGGGGGACTTCATTGCCCACGTAGGTAACATGTAACGTGGAGGTCTCTTGTAGTGACCTTCCAGACAAGAGACCTGGAAGGGCATGATTGGAAAGAACAGCCTCTCTGATCTGAACTCGAGTGGTGTTCTGTTGTTGGATTTCTGTGCTAGTCATAGTTTGTGCATCACAAACACCATGTTCAAACATAATGGTGTCCATAAGTGCACTTGGCACCAGGACCCCCTAGGTCGTAGATCAATGATTGACTTTGTAGTCTTGTCATCTGATTTGCAGCCCTGGTAGTGAGTTGGATCAGATAGCGGGGGAAGATGCCAGACAGACCCGGTAGACCCAAACATGTAGTGAGGTTTTGCTGGGAATGCCTGGCAGAAGAACTCGTCAGAGAGATCTTCAACTCACACCTCCAGGAGAGCTTTAACCACATCCCAGTTGAAGTGGGGGATATTGAGTTCGAGAGGGCCATGTTCAATGCCTCAATTGTTGAAGTGGGCAAGTGGCTGCCTTGAGCTGTGGCCACATGGTTGTCGGTGCTTCTCGCAGTGACCATCCTCGAACTCGGTGGTGGACACCCCGGGTTAGGGAGGTTGTTAAGCTGAAGGAGTCCTATCAGTCCTTGTTGGCTGGTGGGACTCTGGGGGCAGCTGAGGAGTACCAGAGGGCCAAGTGGACCACAGCCTTGGCTGTTGCTGAGGCAAATGTTTGGATGTGGCAGGAGTTTGGCGAGACCTTGGATAGACTCTCGGTCGGCTCCAAGGAGATTCTGGCAAACCGTCAGGCTGCTGAGGAGAGGAAAGCAGCTTTTTACTAACACTGTGTACAGTGAAGGTGGGGTGCGTTGACCTCAACCAGTGATGTTGTCGGGAGGTGGAAGAATGCTTCTCAGACCTTCTCAATCCCACCGGCACGTCTTGCATGGAGGAAGTTGAGTCAGGGAATTGGTCTGTCCATAACCGTGGCTAAGGTCGTCGAGGTATTTTAAAAGCTCGGAGGCAGCAAGGCTCCGGGAGTGGATGAGATTCACCCTGATTTCCTTTAAGGCTCTGGATGTTGTGGGGCTGTCTTGGTTGATACGCCTTTGCAACGTTGCGTGGACATCGGGGGCAGTGCCACTAGATTGACACACTGGGGTGGTGGTTCCCCTCTTCATAAAGAAGGACCGGAGGGTGTGCTCCAATTATAGGGGCATCACTCTCCTCAGCCTCCCTGGTAAGGTCCATTCAGGGGTACTGGTGAAGCGAGTCCGATCTTTGGTCGAATTTCAGATCCAGGAGGAACAATGTGGGTTCCTTCCTGGCCGTGGAACACTGGATCAGCTCTTTACCCTCACTAGGGTCCTTGAGGGGTCATGGGAGTTTGCCCATCCAGTCTACATATGTTTTGTGGACTTGGAGAAGGCATTCGACCGTGTTCCTCGGGGTACACTGTGGGGGGTGCTCTGTGAGTATGGGATTTGGAGGCCCGTTGTTATGGGCTGTTCAGTCCCTATACAAGCAGTGCGAGAGTTTGGTTCACATCGCCGGTAGTAAGTCGGACCCCTTCAGGGTGGGAGTTGGACTCCTCCAGGGCTGCTCGTTGCCACCGATTCTGTTCATAACTTTTATGGACAGAATTTCTCTGTGCAGCCAGCTGGCAGAGGAATTCCGGTTCGGTGGCCTCAGGATTCCATCTCTGCTCTTTGCAGATGATGTGGTCCTGTTGGCGTCATCATGCCGTGATCTTCAGCTCTCACTGGAGCTGTTCGCAGCCAAGTACGAAGCGGCTGAGATGAGAATCAGCACCCTGGATGTGGCTGTGGAAAATGTCTGGACCTCCCTGCTCAAGCTGCTACCCCCATGACCCAACTTCGGAACAAGCGGGAGATAATGGATGGATGGAATAATTTACTTTGGATCGGTTACTTTAAAAATAGTTTGTCATTTTGGTGTCTGGTAAAAAAAAAAAAAAAAA